TTGTACTTTTTGTTGTTATGTGAGTAGAATGGAAATAAGAGTATAGAGCAAGGCAAAAGATTTTCCAATACGAAAGTTGGTACTCAGGTATTCTCCATAATTGAAGTTATTGAAATGTGTAGAGCAAATGTTAACAATTATTAAGCTGATGCGCGGCAGCTATTACATGTAAATTGTTTCGTATAGGAGCATGTAATGAAATTTAAAATCGAATTTGTTTGTTTAATATTGTTTTATAATATTATCGATATCATTAAATACCATAAAATATGTTGTATGTTAATGTTTTATATAAGCAGTTAGATGTAAGCATGGACCGTGACCGGTTAGAAGACTTTGTAAGTTGCAGTGATTTCGAGTGTCGGATAAAGGGTGCCTGTAGAGGTCAACTTAAAAACTTAAATGTTTAGTGTTAAATTAAGGAAGGTGTAACTAATGTCATTAATCATTATTTCGCCAAGTTAGTTGACTGTGAGTTGAGAATTATTTTATTCAAAGAGTATTTTCTTGAAGTGAAAGATAGTAAAAAAAAGGAGTTAAGACGTTATGATGGGCGCGTAGAAATTTTAGTCGTTTTATGAGAGGAATGGGTTGCGGCTGGAGGGCCGGGGAAATAATCTCGTGTGAGCACATCGAGGTGCGGAAGCCGTTAGCGGTAGTGTACATCGAGGACGTGAGCGCGCGTCCGGTGTAACTAATAGGCTGCGTAGGCACGGTGAGATGTTGCGGACTATGGTAAAAGTGGACAACGAGAGTGTGAACGTGCATTCTGTTGCTACTAGGGAGCCATAGTTGAAGTTCTATGTCTGGAGTTAGGCATAGTGGAGGCACTAGATAGAAGCTGATTCTCTTGAGCGCGGAGGCTACGTTAGAGACGGGAAGCGATTAATTTGTATGACCGTTTCAGACCTAGTACATGTGAAGAGTATAAAGAGATTGGTAATTCCCTACAAGGATGAAGCCAATACCGATTGAAAATAAAGAAGTTTTTGGAGGACTGATTTTAAAGAAAAATTATAAGATTTTTCGAAAGCTAGATGAAGGATCAGAAACGCCATTAAGCAAATGATGAAGAAGAGTGAGAAGGGCTGAAATAGAGAAGTTCACAAAATATGCAGAATTAAAATGAGAGTGTTTTTCATTCGAGGCCGAATGAAACGCAGGACGGCCGAATGTGGGATTAGTTTACGGAAAGTACCTACGATACTATGACTAATTGGCCGTTAAGAGTTAGTAACCTAGAAATGCAGCCCTACAAAACGAATAAAGGAATAGAACTGGTCTAATGATTTGACGAAAGGGACATCACGTTAGAAGACGGAGAAGACATACTGCTACAACAACAACTTTCCGCTTTATTCATCATAATTTTATGTACGTTCCCACGACAGTCGGGTCTACGTAACCGGAACGACCCAGATTTATATCTGGCCAAGGACTGTCACTCCAGCAACACTCCCCAAAAAGTCTTTGGGGGAATTTGTATGCTGCTACAACAACAACAACGGAGAAGACATGGGTCCCGACGGAATATGCATGCTGATGCTGAAAAATTTGGGTCCTGCGGGGGTAGCGTACCTAACGGAGGTCCTCACAAACCACTTGACCCCAGCGAAGCATCAGCATGGTTTCCGTAAAGTGCACAGTACAACAACAGCACTTAACGCCATAAACACTCAGATAACTCGTGGCCTTAACCGAAACCGTCCCTGTGAGAGAACGATTCTAGTAGCGTTGAATTTGTCAAAGGCGTTTGACACTGTCTGCCATTCCACGCTACTAGAATATATAGAGGTCTCCTCTCTCCCACAGAGGCTCAAACGGTGGTCGGCAAATTATCTGAGTGGTCGACACTCGTCGGTAATGTTTAGAGATAAATCGAGTAAACTCAGAAAAATAAAACAGGGGGTTCCACAGGGTGGTGTCCTTTCCCCGCTACTGTTTAACTTTTACATTTCAAAGCCCCCTCAACCACCAGAGGGAGTCTCGATTGTCTCTTACGCCGACGATTGCTCGATCATGGCGACTGGGAATGGATTTGATGACCTGTGTTCGAAAGTAAACTGGTATCTCTCCGAACTTTCTCGCTTCTTCACTGCAAAGTGTCTAGCCCTCTCCCCTACGAAATCCTCTGCGACCCTGTTCACAACCTGGACGAAGGTCAGGCTACCGCTGGGAATTAACGTCGATGACACACCAATTCCGACGATGAATAACCCCAAAATACTCGGAGTAACATTCGACAGCCTGCTCTCCTTCTCTGCGCACGCAACCGCTATTGTCAATAAAGTACAGAGCCGCAACAAGGTCCTCAAGTCGCTAGCCGGCAGTACTTGGGGCAAAGACAAAGAAACGTTGCTGGCAACATACATGGCAATAGGCCGGCCGGTATTAAACTACGCAGCGCCAGTGTGGTCGCCGGGGAGTAGTAGGACGCAGTGGACGAAGCTACAGACTGTACACAACACCGCACTCAGGACAGCGACAGGATGCCTCCTGATGTCGCCCGAACACCATCTCCACGGCGAGGCACAAATACTCCCCATAAAGGAGCACAACATAATGCTCTGCAAACAGTTTCTGATCGGGAGCCACAGAAGTGGCCACCCAAACAGACAGCTGCTTGCATAGGAGCCCTCGCCTAGGCACGTCAGGAGGCATCTATATGAACTGACGGACGAAGTCCAGAGGTTCATCAAGCAACCTCTGGACCCGTCAGCTTACCGACTGGCCCTGAACGGCATTCAGAGGGAGTCAGTCTCGAGTTATGTAGACTCTAGACCTGTGAATGCCGTTCTAGGCATACCGCCCCCGGACATAGACGTGACGGAGCTTCATCTGCCTCGGGAGACACGAACAACAATAGCCCAACTTCGCTCTGGCTACTGCAGCAGGTTAAACTCCTACCTGAGTATATTGAATGAGGATGTGCCAAATGAGAATCCGGCATGCGGAGAGACCCCACATGACTCGAAACATCTCTTCGCATGCCCGGAAAACCCGACAACCCTAACGGCTTTGTCCTTGTGGACCAACCCAACAGAAGCTGCACGCTTCCTAGGGCTGCCGTTAGTGGAACTTGACGACAACGACTGAGATACCAACCGATCTGGGCGGGGTTGATGTAGCCGCTACAACAACAACAAGAAGATCGCATTTTTAATCGTTCGCGATCGTTCGTTGGTAGAGTGTGGGTAAACAAATACTTGAATTTAGTATATTTTGATACGAACGAAGGCAGGTTACTCGCTTTTTTGACATAAATGGGCAAAGTATCGAATATTGACAAGACAAAACTTGCTACATATAATAAAGACACAAATTTTTCGAAGTGCCTTTTGTGCGAAAAACAACTTAAAGGCTACATATTAGGAAACATTAAAAGACATTACGAAACTATACATAAACATAACTTTAATGAAAGCGTTCCATCTACAAGCGACAATAACGTTTCCAAACGCCGAAGTTCTAACCAATTTGGTCTAAAATTAAATAAAAAAGATTTTTTAAAGTGGTGTGTTGGATTGGTAACCGTGAAAAACATTCCCTTTCGACTTTTCGATGACGAGCTTTATTTTAAGCAAATAATTGGACCCTATGAAAATCAATTTAGTTTACAATTAAATTCAAAAAATATTGTTGAGCATATAAATCTGTTCGCAAATAACATAAAAGATCTTTTGAAACAAAGTTTGTCCAAGAAAATGTTAAGCTTAAAAGTCGATGTAGCTGCCAGAATGGGGAAGAGTATATTGGGAATAAATATCCAATATATTAAAGATTTTAAAATTGTGATAAACACAATTGGCATGATACAATTGAAAAAGAGGCATACATCACATTTTTTAAAAGAGGAAATATTAAAATGCTTGCAACAATTCGATATTGATCTTACACAAATATATTCAACTACTTCGGACAACGGGGCAAACATGTTAAAAGCTTCAAAACTACTTCAACAAGACATGATAGATTTACAAAATGATGAATGCGAAACGACTTCAGAAAATGAGAATGATGACTACGAATTAGTACACAATCGCTTGAATTCAGTACTGGCAGTAGTAAGATGTGCCGCGCACACAATTCAATTGGCGGAATATGATTCTTTCAAGGAAATGCAAAATAAACTGGAGGAGTGCAGGAAAATTGTGAAACTACTTAGGGCTAGCATAAGAAGTTGTATCAACTCTGCGGATATACGTTTGCCACCAATTGATAATATAACTCGATGGAACTCAACATTTGAAATGATAGAATCCCTTTTGAATTTTAAACAGCATATTAATGGAAACGATATGGTATTTTCTATTGACTGTGAAATTGATTGGAACTCCATAGAAGACTTTGTCAATGCATTTACACCAATGGCGCAATGTACCAAACAACTTCAAGCTGAACAATACATTATCGGCGATTTTTACAGAGACTGGCTTGTATGTGAAGCAAAATTAAAAAAAAGGCTGAAAATGCGTTTGCAATAAAGTTATTGGAATCTATGAGAAGAAGGAAAGAAAAATCACTCGACAATGTTGCATTCCTTTCTGGTATATACTTCGACCCAAGATTCAACTTTTTGGATTCACCGTATATTAATGATGACCAAAGGAAAAGTGCAGTGGTATATAATATTGTAAATAATCTAATCTCTTAACATTGTAAGATAAATAAAATTTTTTTATAGCTGCACATATTAAGAACAAATGCAGCGGTTAGTTCATTAAATGGAGATGGAAATTCATGTAACGAAGGAATTGACCCTCAAGAGGATATACATGCTTCGCCAAATGATCCCCACAACATGTTAGAAGAAGAGCTAAATAATATGACCAGCAGCCGATTGACAACTCAAAACAGTGCCAATATTCGCCAAAAGCTTGACAATTTAGCATACGGCCAAAGAATGTCTTTCGCAACAAATGTACTCGGCTATTGGAAAAATCTGCATACTAAAGAAAGAGACTTATTTAAGCCGTCTGAAGTCATTTTAGCAGTTCCATCGAGTCAAGTTTCCGTAGAAAGAGCATTCAGCGCGCTATCCACAATTATAACAAAGCAGCGCTCAAGACTAAGCAGTGACACAATTAATAATTTATTGATTGTAAAGCTGAACAACAAATTATTGGAAAAAGTTAGTTTCTAAAAATCTGATCTATATTTTGTGAATCTTGAACTATACTGACACTTCTTGTGTACATAAATTGTTGTTATTGAGGGATTTATTTTATTCTCATTTTGAAATGTGAACTTATGTTTACATTTTCTAATATTATTATGTTTTTTGTAATCTTGAAGTGCATTGATTTTTAATATACTTATGTATGTACATATAATTTTCTGGTATTTTGATTTTTTGATGGGGACAAACAGGAATTTATTTTTTTGAATGGAAGATAAAATAAATAATATAAAAAAAACTTTTTAATATACAACGCTTTTATAAATGGACTAAAAAGTTGAAAATAATACTTCTCAGTCCCATAGAATTTGTTTTGATAACTTTTGATTTCGAAATTTTAGCAAAAGTCATTATAAACAATCTATGAAATTGAAAATGAAAAACGTGGAGCGCATGGGATGGGATCTTTCCGAAGTCTTTAAAATTTCTTTACGATTCAGAATACTCTGAAAAAATGGTTTGCAGGGTACACATACTAATTTATGTATGTACATATATATGCATACATATCCATATATGCGTATATATTTACAGGGGCGGACCCAGCAGCAATTCTTGGGGGGGAGGAAATTTTTATACCCGAGCGCACTTGTGCACAAGGGTATTATAACTTTGTTCACATTAACGGTTGTTTGTAACAGGAAAAACGAATCGAGATAGATATAGACAAATGTATACATAAATGATCAGAATGAAAAGAGAAATCGATTAAGCGGTGACTGTCTGTCCGTCCGTCCGTCCGTCCGTCCGTCTGTGCACACGATAACTCGAGTAAAAATTGAGATATCTTAACGAAACTTCGTACATGCACTTCTATTGCGCGTGGGACGGATGGTATTGAAAATGGGCGAAATCGGACACTAACCACGCCTACCTCCCATATAACGGTAATTTTCAGAAATACGAAAACTGCGATATTTTAGTAACTACTGATGATAATTCACTCATAATTGACATTTAGAATAACTTTTAGACGAAAAATAAGAATATTAAAAATTTTTGAAAAATGGGCGTAGCCACGCCCACTTATAGTTACATGTGCATATTTTGGAAACCGCTGCACCAATTTCTTCCAAACTTGGCACAGTTGTTGACCCTGATACACCATACCAAATGGCCGAAAATTTTTAAAATCGGACAATAACCACGCCCACATCCCATATAACGGTAATTTCGAGAAATACGAAATCCTCGATAAATCAGTAAATATTAAAGCTAATTTATTCAAAATTGACGGTTGCAACAATTCTTTATCAGGAAATACGCTTATGATAAAATTTTGGAAAATGGGCGTGGCACCGCCCACTTATGATCACATTTATGTATATCGGTAACAGTTCTAGCAATTTTTACCAAACTATGTATGATTATTGTGCTTGCCACATAAAAGCAAACCGTTGAAAATTATTGAAATCGGACTAAAATTACGGCCGCTTTTCATATAACGGTAAATTTCAGAAATGCTTGAAATTTCAATATTTCGAAATTTAAGGATGCTAGTTTACTTAATATTTATACACCCGCTTATCATGTAGCGGTAGCTTTCGGAAAGGTGGAAAACATATATTTAATACTTGCGCCGGGTGTTTAATGTTCGGCTCCGCCCGAACTTAGACTTTCTTACTTGTTCAACATATATCGTGTACATAAATTTAAAAATCACCGCAGTTTAAAATTTTTATGGCCTTATTAAAAAAAAATAAAGTAGCTTTATAAAAGGTTTATAAATTGAAAAATGTATGAAAACGTCAATTTATAAAGCTCTTTAAACATACTTTATTTTTTATGAATAAGGCCATTCGAGTTTTGTTAGTTTTTAATTTCTTGAAATTTCCCCTTTTTAATAGCTTGAGTGGAATCCAAAATTTTCTAACCTTTCAAAACTTTGTGTGTTTGAGAAATTTTAATAAATCCCAATAATTCAATATAATGATGAATACTAGATTTCTAGAAATTTTTTATTTTTCAAAAACTTTGAGAATTGTAGGAATTCTTTCTAAGTAAAAGTGTCGAATATACAAAATTGATCAAACGAAATTAAAAGTTTTCGAATGTTGGAAACATTTTCATATTTCGTCGTTTTTGAAAATTTAAAAAATTTTCATAGCTCTTGAAGATTGAAAAAATGTTTTCAAAATTTTCAAAAATTTAAAATTCTCAAACTTTTTTATATCAATACAAAATTTCTAAAGTCTCAGGAAAGAGGAACAATTGGGGAATTTTTCAAAAATGTTAATATCTTTTAGAATTCTAAGAATTTTCTATTTTTTACACACAAGTACATGAACATAAGATTTTTTCGACAATTTGTGATGTTTCAAATTTTAACATTTTAGGATAAATAATGTAGCAAATTTCTAAAATCTCAATAATTTTGTACATTTCAAAATATTCTCATTTTACCAAAATTTCTAGAATCTCCCGGATTTCGATAGTTTTTGAAATTTTGGAAATTATCCTAAAAATAAGAAATCTCAAGAAATTTAATAATATTATAAAATTCAAATTTTGGAATTTTCGTTGTTTTCGTTTCAAACTTTCTGTGACTTTCAACTGTGCAAAATAATACAAATTCGAAAATATAACAAAAAAGGTAAAATAATTTCAAAATTTTAAAAGTTCAGTGAATTCGAAGAACTGATAGACCTACTTAAATAACATAATACTTCGAGCTTAACACACAGCTAAAATTTCAAACTCAAGTGAAATTTGACACACTTTTTCCATAAATTAAAAATTTCGAAAGCATCCATTCATTAGGTTTGTTCCCCAAGCTTCTCGAAGTCACTTCGAGTTACATATACACCCTCCGTAAGTAAGTTTTCGAAGTTCTTTGATATACGCTCACAGTTTGAACTTTGCCCGAGTTTTTCTACAAGTAGCTATTATATATTCTTGTAATGATATTTCACGATATTCAGTTGAATATTATGAAAATACATGTTACACAGTCTTGAGGGGGAGGGAAATTCCCCCAATTCCCCTACCTGGGTCCGCCAATGATATTTATAAACTATCTATATATATTATAATGTGCGGGAGAGTTTACGGGCAGAAGCATATATATGAATCTTCCGTTGTACATAAGCGGGAGATACATATACATTTCCATAAGCAGGCAGAGTGCAGCAATGTATTAAGTTTCTGGGCATTAGGGTACAAGTTCATAAATGCAGCAAGAAATTAACTTCAGTCTGGTATACTAGCAAAACAATAGAATATAATGATTTTTTTAGCGCAGTAAATATTAGACAATGTTACGGATTTCCCTAACTAAAGGTTCTTAAAGTATGAAATGTTAGATACATACATACAACTGCGGTCAAAATAATAGCAGTAAAAAGTACTACATTAGAAATGTGAAAATATGTCAAAGAACAAACCTAATTTTGTTCACATTGCATAAGCTAGCTGTACTAAAAACAGGTCAAAATAATAGCAGTCGTTCGGTGAGTGTTGGCGCGTTAAGTTCGTTTGCTCTTCTAACAGTCTTTTTAAGAAAAATAATTTTGTTACAAGTAAGATGAACCAAAGTAAAGGAAAGTTAACACATGGTTACTAATTTTTTCCTTATAGTGGGAAAGCATTGCACCGAGGAAAAGCGTTTGTTAATTAAAAAACTTTTTTTGGAAGGTAAAACGTACAAAAAAATTCAAAGTTTGATGGGTTGTTCAGCTAAAATGATTTCAAATGCATTGAAATTTAAGGAGAAAAATGAAAGTCGCGGAAGAAAGCCCATTATGTCTTCACGAAGTGTGACTCGATTGGTACGACATAGCCAAAATAAGCCTTTGCTGACAGCTACCGAGCTGAAGACAGAATTAAAAATAGAAGCAAGTGTAGAAACAATTAGAAGAGGGTTAAGAGAAATGGATTTTTATGGTAGAAGCCCACGAAAAGTGCCGTTAAAGAAAAAATGTCACCTTACACACAGATTGCGTTTCGCGCAAGAATGTTTGGAGTGGCCTATTGAAAGGTGGCGCAACATACTCTGGTCCGACGAGAGTAAAATTGTACTTTTTGGCGGAAGGGGCACGAGGCAGTATGTAAGGCGAAAACCCAATACCGAATATGACCCCCGAAACACATTAAATACCGTCAAACATGGTGGGTCCAGTATCATGATTTGGGGCTGCTTTTCTTATTATGGTGTAGGAGATATCAAACAGGCTGTTTGGAGTGCAAAACCGACCAACAACAAC